AAATCAGGCATGCCACCGCTGGGCCTGGTTTCAATCCCCCTAATGGGAATTGCAGCCATGAGGTGGCCAGACCATGTTGTCCGCCCACCGAATCCACCTGCCCCTGCAGAGGGGGGGAAGTCTCCCTTTGCGTGGGGGTGGGTATTTTGATTTTATTTTTTAATTAGAAGATTGACCTGGGTCCTTAACGCAACTAATTTTTGTTTTGCTTTATTTAAATCATTGCTCTGGGCTGGGGCTGGGGGTGAGGGGTTCAGGATGCTGGCTGCCATGGGGAAGGAGGACTACCCCAGCCCTCTGTCACTGCAGCAGCTTGGGACCAGGTGAGAAGCATCTCTCCAAGGCTGCTGCAGCTCCTGCAGGTGCAGCTGAGGGAAGGGGGCATGTTCCCTGGCAGGGGCAGGTCCAGGTTCCTCTGCCCCCTGTGCGCCCCAGCCAGAGTGAGGAATGCAGCAAATTGTGCACTTTCCATTGGCTCCCTGATGAGGGGGATCAGCCAGCAGTGTTTGTATGAATTGGGGGGAGGAAGCGTCAGCCTCCCCAGCCTTGCCCTCCCTAAAAGGCACCTGGGGGTGAGAGGCTCAGGACTGGGGCAGTCCTAGATGGGGGGAGGGGTGCACCTCCAGCCAGCTCCCTTCATTTGCCTGGTGATTCTGTCTCTTTTCTCTTTGGTTTTATGAGAACTAAGCAATCCCATTGCAGGCACATCCAGGCACATCCCGTTTTCCTGGCACAACCAAACCCTGACCTTGCTTTAAGTTATGATAAGAAGACACTCTGTATTGAATCTGGTGGTCCTAGTTCTTAACGTTTAGGAGGAGTTCTTGAACAAACAGGCACACAAACAGACAGACTCACTCTCAGTCTAAAATATACAATAGATAGAGTGAGACATGAGAATTTCTCCCAGCGATGCATCTGGTGTGCTGTAGGGGGTGCCATGGGGAGGTGGGAGTTGGTCTTACCATTGGCTTTCTAGGCTCCACCATGCCAGGCACTGCACCAATTCTGGCTGAGATCTGGGCCTCATTGTGTTGGGAGCTATGTGGACCCTGATGAGATCTGGGCCAATGTCCCCTCCAATCTTTTTCACCCATGTATGGAGCTTTTCTGTCCATGTGCGGAATAAATTTTTGTAAGGTCACAGAGACATGTGTGAATGTGCACTACCCATACAAAAAACCTACCTGTGGGCTCTGTTAACCATCTGGGCAGCACTAGAATCTCTTTTGAGTGGAAGCACAAGTGCACAGCTTACAGGGAATGCCAGTCTGGGACCTCTTGTGCCAGGTGCAGTATGTTGGAGCCAGGACTCTTCGGATCTTTCCCAAGGTCTGAGAAGAAATGGGGGCAGGAGGGCTAGAGCAGGGGGTGGGGATGGGAGCCAGAACTCCTGGATTCTCTTCCAAGCTCTGGTAAGGTGGGAGGGGGGGAGAGGGCTGTTGATTAGAGTGGGTTGGGGAGGGGCTGGGAGCCAGGACTCCTGGCTTTTCTCCCCAGCTCTGAGAGGGAAGTGAGGGCTGGTGGTTAAAGTAGAGGGCTGGGAGCCGGAACTCCTGGCTCTGGGATGGGAGTGGTTTCTAGGGGCTAGAGCAGGGAATGTCTGGAGCAGTGAGGAACAGACAGCCAAAGGTCCCAGGGCTGTAATCGTAGGAGGCAGCCCCCGTCCCTCCACCCCATACTTGCAGCATCTCTGCTGTCATCTCCCCACCATTGGAAGGCCTGTTTTCCCTGCCCTTTGCATGGATGCCCCTGCTGGGGCCAGCTGGACACCATGAGACAGGATGGGGTGTCTGGCTTCTGACACTGCTGTTGGTTTAACAAACCTGGCTGGTTCCAGTCCCTTCCCCACTTCAGCTGGCTTCAGGTTTCCTCCACTCGCCTGGCTCTGGGGTTACGGGGGTGCTTTTCCATCTCCTTCTCTAGGGTGACTGGGTTTGGCTCAAGAAGTTCCCCGGAGACAAGCACACAGACATCAAACCGGCCACCAAAACCACCTTCTGCAAGGTGAGTGTGAATGACAGCAGGTGAATGAGTGTCATGGCTATGCTGAGACAGGAAGCACTCCCCTGCCTGGCCACTGAGTGCCGCTGCTGCTCCAGGGCTGGGACGCACCCTGTGCAGTCCCCTGCAGGGCCAGCCACCGGGTGCTGCTGCTACCCTGGGGGAGGGCATATTCCCTGTTCATGACCTTGCCTGGCTATGGGGTTTCCCTCTTCTCCGTCCCAGCTCCGGGATCTGCGGCATGAAAACGTGAATCTCTTCCTGGGCTTCTTCTATGACTGCGGGGTGTTCGCCATCGTGTCGGAGCACTGCTCCCGTGGCAGCCTGGAGGACCTCATCCGCAACGAGGACATGAAACTCGACTGGATGTTCAAGTCCTCCCTGCTCCTCGACCTCATCAAGGTACGGCGGGGAGCGAGAAGGAAGCCTTAAGAGGCTTGGGGTGAGGAACTGGACCTGGTGGGGGAGGATCCTGGGAGTCTGCAGGCAAGGGAATTGAAGGTCATGGGACATCGGCAAGGCAAGGAGGTGTGTACGTGTGTGGGGGAAGGTATCCGATTTCAGGGATCACCACCCAGAGGGGATCCGGTTCAGATGACAGATCTGCTGAGAGATCCACTCTCAGATCTGGTGGAGTAGGCCAGGGAATCCAGCTGCTGGCTAGGATCTGCTGCTCCAAGGGTGCGGGGAGGGGATGTCATGGCCATGTGGTCCCGGGGGGAACCCCCTTCTGTGCGACAGCCCCTTCTCAGGGGTCCAGTCCAGTACAACAGCCCCTTCTCAGGGGCTGTTCTCTAGGGGGTTGAGCCCCTCCTGGGACCGTGCCTTTCTGAGCCCCCACCACGCCTGCCCCTGCTGCGTGGGACCCCTCAGTGAGTCCACTCACTCTGGAATCCGGGCGCCTCCACCCTCGGAAGGCACAGAGCAGCCCTGTTCTCCAGTCCGGTGCGACTCTCAGCCAGCGTAAAACCAGAGGGTTTATTGAGCATTGAACACAGAAAAAACCTCAGACCTGCAGTCCTGGCCCCCCACAGCCCAGCATGTCGGAGTCTCCCCTGCAGCCAGGTGGGCTCTGCCTGCTCCCCCTGCCCAGTCCCCCTTTCCCTGCCCCAAAAAAACCCTCCTTATATCGGAGCCTCCAATATCCCTTTGCAGAAGCTCCTCTCTCCTCCTTTGTCTTGTGTCTGGGTTACCAGTGTCACCTGGGTCCCTCTCTCCTCTCCTCTCCTCTCCTCTTCTCTGCCCCCCTGCCCATCCCCCCCTTCCTCTGCCAGAGCCAGCTGGGCAGGTCCTTGGAGTCTTCTCTCCACAGCCCATTGTCTTCCCACTGGCCACATCCTGCAGTCTGAGCTGGGTTTCCAGTTGGAGGGGGATTTATTTTCAGGGAAATCCCCTTGAAGAGTGAGTCTGCTGCTGCTTCAGGCTGGGGTCCTGTCAGGCAGAGGGCTGAGCAGAGGGGATCTGTGGGGATCCCAGGAGAGGTCTCAGGAAGGGATCCTGATGCTTAGAGCACTTGCTGGAGGGGATCTGCTGGGAGATTCAGGAGAATCCACTCAGAAGAAGAAAGGGATTTATTTACTTCAGGGGCCTGGAGGCTGGAGTGGCTCCCCTCCCCTTGGGGGGGTCCAGGGGGT